TATAGGTTAACTTAAATCTGACATCTCCTGTTTCAGGGCTAGATATCCAGCACAAGGGAAGGGCAACATACCTGCTTTGGAATTGACCAGTTGCAGAATAAGAGGGCGCCTAGTCACAATTCCAGACCCACGGGGTAAGAAATCCCTGAAAAAAGGTGAAAGGAACATAGCTTAGTAACAACATTAAGAGAAAACAGAGACATTTCAGAACTCAGAATTCTAAATTAGGCAGCAGCTATCAGGGTCTTTATGTTTATAAATGTTCTGGAGTTCCTTATTAGTAGGAATGCTGGTTTTCCATGATTCAGTCAGATCTCTTCCAGTCACTATATATAGACATACATGTGAGACCGGCCACTTTGTTGCAAACCTTACTTCATCAAACTTTGTGTTAAAACACAAATAACTATTGCATTAGCTGTTTCTGGGAGACCCAGCAAGGTGTTTCACTGAAATAGGTCCCCTCCTATATGTAAAGTGCTTTGGGATCTGTTTTGAGACAAAAATGCCCCATACAAATGTAATGAATTAGTGATATTCATTCACCCATTTTAAGGTCTGAGGAAAAAGTCTCAATTTGCAGATTGGAAATGCTGTTAAGATTATATTAGTTGCACTGCATGAAAAGTTCTGCACACACTGTAATAAAACCAATTATCCAGAGGAGAGTCCAGTAGACTGATCTGTAAATCCTAAGCCTTACAAATGCACTGTGGTTGCAAATTAGTGTTGCACAGGGCAAACTGTATTCAAAGGATCACATTAGTGTTCTTCATTGTGAACCATATCAAGAACAAATCTCAGGTAACTGTAGCCAGCTGTAGCCAGCTGTGAGGCTGTCACAATGTGGTGGCATTTTGTTTAAAATCATGTTCGACTAAAATGACTTTCTGAATTGTGCTGCTATACTACACATATTCACACATACATTGCACTGTTAAAATGTCTCTGCAGTGACCCAGATCAGGAAAGGATGGCAGCATAAAAACAGATTGGGGTAGAGACAAGGGGAGTACTACTCTAAACATCAAACAAGAAAGGATCCCGGGGACCCTGAGGCCTGGGGATTCGTGTTCCAATACTCTTGTTGGCCAAGATCTGCACAGCCCTCGGCAGTTAAAAAACAAATTCCATCCATTCCAGCTTTGTCCCCCTCAGACCTATGAGACTTGAAGAAAGAGTCATCGATGCAAAACTGTTTCCAGTTTAACAAGTTCATTTGCCCATGCCCCAGGAAGGACGCAGACCCATGACATGGGCTTCTTTCGAAATGCTCAAGGGGAGGGCAGCAGAGAGGATCTCACATGAACATGAGTGCTTTGAAATTAGGAAAAATCCTATTTGCTTAGCCCATGGCCTTATCAAGGCAAATGTAAAAATAAAACAACAGGGAGGCAGGTACATCTTAGATGTGCAATGTGTATGCAAGTCAGTGCAGCGTGACAGTGGGCAGCAATGAATAACACGCTGGAAGGAACCGTTGAGTGCTATAAAGCAGGAATCCCACAGAGCAAGGTACAGTATTGATCCCTTTTGAGCTCTTCTTCAGTATTAATATACTCTGCACTTATTGCGTCTAACGCCCTCAATCTGCGCTGAACTGTTGTCAAGTGTACAAAACGCACGGTCATGACCTTCACACCAGCAGTGGAAGGGCGATGCATATGATGAGCAAAAACACTCTTCTGCATGCTATAAGCCACAGCCATGCAGCGCCGGCTGGAGGGGTGATTCAGGTCTTGCAGAGTACACCGTCACACGCAGCCCTGCCCCCCTTCCACCACCACAAGCCACATCGGGGTTACTGATGCACAGCACAGCCTGGCTACAGTCTACAAGCAACTCTAGCTAGGCCTGATCCTGTGACAGTTGAGGTTCAGCCTATAACAGAATGAGTGACTCTGCTGGTCTGGCTGCTCAGATGGTGCTAAATAAACTTTATTTAGATAACTACAAGGCTGATTATTCCTGGTCTGGAGGGGGTGGATTTAAGTCCTCATGCACACTCACAGACACCAAATTAAGGGAAGGCAGGAGTAAACTGGAGCGCCTGGAGAGAGAAAAAAAACAGGAAGAACATGCAAACTCCACACAGAATGGGCTCCAAGTTTAAATCAATTCCAGTTGTGAGGCAGCAGTGCCAACCACAACACTCAATTAAATCGGGACAATTAAACATTTTTGTATGAAACCATATGCTTTACGGCCTAGTAATGAACACATCAATAGCACAATGAGAGCGCATTCAATATGAACATGATTTCAACAGCAACTCTGTATATCTCACTCTGTTCCAGTGCTGCCCATCTCTGCAATCAGTCAGTCTTAATGAATTGCAAGCACACTGTGCATTTCAAAATTGCAGCTGAATTTTCACCATGACCTCAATCTTTAGACATACAAAAATACAGAGGAGTGCAGAGAAGACCATGGACATGCCTACTAGGCCAGAGGAGGCAAGAACAATCAGCAGGTATTGAAAGAAGAAAGATAATGCACACTATATTGAATCCTCTTCTGCTTGCTTTATTTAGAGCCTGAACATATGCAGAAGACAAAATTGCAGTAATCATTTTTCATTAATTGTAACCTGACATGGCTCAGATTAAGGGATAATCAGCGTTGCGAAAAAAAAGCAACCATTACCACTTTGGCATAAACAAAATCAGGTCTGTCTGCTTGGTGGTGGATTGTTAGTAGAAACAAACTCAAAATGAAGATAAAAAAGAACTTGCTGACAAAAACAGGAACAGGCAAAATGCTGAACAAAAGATCTGACTGGAGAAGAAAAGAGCTTTTGTTCAGAATTGCTGCTTTCAGATCTATGAAGAGACCGTGGCCGGTGTGTTCTCATTGGCCCCTATAGGACGCCTGTCTGAGATACAGAATTAAGAAGATCTGATAGAAGGGGATAGAAAGCTTTCTCCACGCAGCATTAAAGACAGAAGTACAAACCAAGTTCACGGACTTCATTGCTAGAGGACAGGCTTGTAAAATTTAAAATGCACACAATCCATTTATGTCAAACACATTGGCCTAAACTTTGTAACAATTGTTTTTATATTTATGTTGGGTTTGAGACGATACATTTATAATGCTATGCTTAAACAGTCATTGAAACAATGTCCATTCTAAATTTAAGTGCATTTTTAATGTTATACTTATCCAAGACACCTCTTTTAAGTTTACACTCTAATTCCCCATATATGGAAGTTAAGATGGCTTTTATTCTAATAAGTTAAACTCCTTTAAGCAGCAATACAGCACTATCCGTGTGTGTAAACGACCACTACATTTTTTATTATTTCTGGAGGCCTCCAAATAATATCATCGTGATTAAACAAGCCTGGCTAGAACTTTGACATGCAAACACCAGAAACCACAATCCCAGCAGAGACGCTGGAACCTGGAGTTGTGTTTGGAAACAGCCAAAGGCCAGTAAGCAAAGCAGATGAGCTGATGGCAATAGATTAGACTGCCTGTTCCATTTTCTTTCACAGTGGTGTTGTTGAAGTGAAAATAAAAAACACAAAAGGAGCTGTCCCCAGATTCCCAACCGCTCAAACCGGCAGTCTGTGAAGAGGTTCAGCCAGGCAGTCTGGAGCTTTACAAACAAGCCGACGAGACCAGACACAGTCCCTGACCGCAATACTTCCTAAATATTTCAGGAGAGTGCAACAGCAGTGTTTCTGACTCAGCTGCGCTGGCTCTCAGCTGCAGTAAGGAAGCCCCTCCGCCCTCCCATTCAGCGTCTCATTTAAACTTTCACAGTAGGCTGTGTAGGCCTGAACACTTACAGTGCAAAACAGCCAGGCCTCCCGATAGTGGTAAGCAGTGATGCTGCCGCCAAGACAGATCTCATTCTCCAACTCGCAAGCCCTATAACTGGAGCTCTGTCCATCTAGATTACATATTTTAGCTTAAAAAATGCAGTTAAAATGCCAGTGCAATTCCCTTTCACACCTCTAAATGGAATTTAAACATGTCCTAGACAAATGGCCATTTTACAAAGTACAGTTATTCACTAGATTCTGCAGCTTTCATGTGGTTTGTGAATGCTTGCTCTGTTAACAGAATGCATTATACAGCGGGTGTACTGTAAAAAAATTGCATATGAAGGTGGCAAACACATGCAGACCCTCAGGAAAGCATGAGGAACAGGGGTTGGCAATTAAAAACCAAAAGTGATGTAACCTTAGGCTTAAGGTAGAAGTTTCTTAATATCACCTGCTTCTCAAAAATTTGAACTTGGACAGAGTAGACAAGCTTATCTGATGCCACGATCAACTCTTAATGGGCCTCTTTTCCTCCTGCCATGGGCTGTACAGGAGCTAGCCTTTTCCAAAAAGTCTATAGGACATCACCCAAAGGGGCACAGATGTGTTCTTCACAATCCCAGAATGTGGGCCTGAAACCCCTCCCCGCCCGCCAGTTTGAGCTATTTCAGATTTTAAAACCTGTGGATTTGTTTTGCAAAATAACTTGGATAACTATGTTTATTAGCTTATTAACTTAACATTCAACAAATGTTTGCAATATGTACCTGTAGGGCTGGGCGATAATTCGATAACGATAATCATCGCGATATAATTTTCCTCGATATAATTTTAACAAAAGTTCGATAAATGTTCGATATATATGTTTACGCTTTGCGCATGATATGCATGTGTGTGTTGCAGACCGGGCAGCTTACGTGGTGTTGTTTACCCACACGGTGGTGGCTGACAGGATTGTAGTTAGAGTGAAGAAATGAGTGACACTGAAGCAAATGTAGTGCTGCCAACAACCAGCTCGAAGGACGATGACATCGTCAACAGAAAAGGTCATTCAACTTCGGTAATTTGGAGATATTTTGGCTTTTTATGATCAGACATAAAACAGCAGCGTGCACTGCAAACTGTGCCGCAGATCCGTGCCAGCAAAGACAGGCAACACCACAAACCTATTTCACCATTTAAAACAACATCACCCATTAGAACACGCAGAAAGTAAAAAATTACAGTCACAAACTATTGTTGTTAGTGGAAGGGGACCATCTATAAGCACCAGGCCAGTATTCAGTGTGACTACACAGCAGCATAATTTTCGAGCACCGTGCCTTACGACAAAAAAACGAAAAGACAAGACGACAAATGCAGTTGCATA